TGCTTGCTGAATCCCCTTTTACTGCAACAACAACTATGTACAACAGTCAAATATCTTGTTTTTGTCAAATTCCAAACGTTGAAAGGTATGAAATTGGTACGCAGTTGAATCTTTATCCAAAAGTTCAACGTTCGCAACACCAAAATCCAAGTCTTCGTAGTGGTGGTCCAAGGTTCACGTGGCAGGAAACCATGAGTGCGAATTCGAGTGCGAAATGATGTGTAGTGTAGCTTCAATGAAAATCCTTCCAACCCAAACTCCTAAGTCCAAAAACCCTTATCCCGTCCCATAAGTCCTTCCCGTTATTCCAATCCGTCCCAATAATCCTTCAATCTGAAAGTGAACAAGCAAGCAAATAAGAGCGAGAGCGAGTGCGAGTGCAAAAGCAAGAGACACAGAACTAGTCTGGGCAGGGTGTGTTGTTCTCCTACTACATTTTCATGGCCTTTATATATCCCTACTGTTTGTACCTACCAAATAGGAGCCCTTGTGCAAGTGTTGCCTGGAAACGCTTCGTTTTCCAGTTACAGTGCGTCGTACTACTACAGTCCTCGTGAAACCTGACTACGGTATAGCCCGTTACTAGGTTTCAGAGTGATTCCATGGTTACTTCACTGCCCTCAGGCTATGCATAGAACGACCATTCTCCCCTCCGTCTGCTCACGTGTTGAGGGTGCCCTAGAAACGCGTTCCCCATTGTTTAAGACGTGTTTGATCCCGAAACGCAATGTGTGACAAGTCACGTGACCAATGTCACTGCTTTGTCCTGCAAGTTTTAATCTCCGCGCTTATCGTTGCTTCGTCGCGTTTCAGCTATGGTTCGAAGGCGCCAGGATTGACGGGTGTTTTGACACCCCAAGGCTTTTATTGTAATTCATCGTCTGAATATTTGGTAGCTTATGCCCCTTTTGTGTTTCTTCTTCTAGCCTATTATGGCCTAATCCTTGCCCTTCAGTTGTCTTTCAGAGGCGCAAAATTGCCCCACTCGTCAATGTGTAAAAGGTTTGCATGTGACAGGCATTGGTGGTGTCACATGCACCCATCACAATATATGGCAGCTGAATGGCATCGGGGGACCTGCAGGCGAGATTTTAAAATTGTTGGATTTGATTGGAGCGCTCACCCTAATGTCTAGCTATTGCAATATGACATTTCTCATGCTGGCTGCCCTCATGGACTTCATGCTGTCCTACTTGATCTTCTCATATGATATTGCCTGCCAGTTTTCAAAAGGATCATGAGGAAGACAGAACAAACTGCCACCAAGGTACCGACTGAGTCTGGACCCCGCAAACATCTGCTGGATGGTCCCAAATTGGCATGTGGCTGGGCATAAGAAAGGCTGTCACTCACCTTTCTCTTTCCATTGGCTCTAGGATGAACACACAGCAAAACAGTAAAACAAAACCCCTAAAAGACTGTTGGATAAGAGTTTTATCCGTAGAATCTTCGGTGTGGAAACTCTCCGATGGAATCTCCTTTCCAAGAGTTGGGCGGTGAAATCCTTATAAAGGGGTGACTTCAATAAGAACGGGGACGGTCAGGAAAACCGTGTGAGTCTTGATGTGTTTGTCTGATAGCAGCAACTGTGGACGGTTTCTTCCGAGCCCACTAAGTTGTTTGATAAAGCCTTTGAACGAAGCTTAGAAACTCAAGGATCCGAATGAATAGAGTAAAGAAAACAATATTTTGCTTAATACCAACAAAGGGGCACTACTCACTAGGAAAGAGAAAAAAACTATCTACTGCTGCCCTCCTTATATACCTTTGCACTATGACTCACTTCCTGCAGGAGTCAGTATTGTGACTCATTCTGACTTTGCTTGATACAAGTCATATTGACTAGGTATGACTCCATCCTTCTTCTGACTCAATCCTTTGACTCAGGTGTGTCTTTTCTGGATCCATAGTCTTTTCATTTCTTCCCTTCTTGGGGTTTGAATATTCTTTTAAGGTAAACATTCTTCCCATGGGACATCCGCGGCAAACAGATTAACCAAGGATTGTCCTCAGTCCCCAAAAAGAATAATCAGATCTTCCAAGAAAATTATGTCCTATTTGTCGTACATACAAGTTGGCATGTTGTTCCAAATATACAGCAGTGATTTAATTTTGGCAAAGGCAGTATGGGGTGAGGAAGAGTGTCTACTGATGTAGGCGCAATCACGGTGATACGGGTCGGATCTGCCGACCCCTCGTCAGGTCGCTTTTTGCGATTTATCACTTAACCGGTACAACTGCTAGTACTTCGGTACTAGTACTGAGTACTTGGTACTTGAACCCTGTCCGGTGACATACAGTTAGAGTCAGAGCGGAGCTCCGAGCTGCTGATTGTGTATTAACCATGCTATTAGAGGCCGTATCATGTTTAGACAAGTACTTATGCTCTTGGTCCTACTAAACGGGGACTGTCATATTGCTTGCTAAGACCTCTGTGCGGTTATTAGTGAAGTACGAGTTCTTCCCAGGACTTGGACTACACTACGAAAGCTAGATACCATACCCAGGAGAATACCCACAAAAGCCTTGACAACTTTGGAGACCATGACTATACCCAAGGGACTGGATGGCCACAGTCCACTAGACAGGCATGAACCAAGTAGTAGGGTTCAAGGCCGCGACACGCGGAGAAGTCCTTCAGAGTACTCTAGGAGTACTTGGGAACTATAGAGAGCAATAGGCGCATGAATTGCTAGGAATGACAGTGATCAGCATAGTACTTGGCACGTCAAACGAGACATGTGACCAGTACGACGCGATCTGAGAAGTCAAACAAGGACAAAGGTTGTTCAACGAGAAGTCCACAGTACCTGTAGGAATGCCGAGAAGACCTCTGGAGAGGTCTGGCCCACACGAACTGAGTCGGACGGAGTCGAAACCAGTAGGCTAGGAGATTAGCAGACGAACCAACCCCGGAACATCGGTCAAAGCGGTCAACCGCTGCGGCAGCAGTTCTAGTGGAGCGGCAAAGCATGCCATTGGGCTTTACAAACCAAGCCGAAGTGCGGCATCCTCTACAAGTACTTGGCAAGTACTCGGGAGCACTCAACAGTGCTCTTGGCCTGGCCTAGAGTTTGCAAATATACCACAACGGGTCTCTGGAGTTCTCGCGGCGCAAGGATCCAGACCAGACCGGCTCTCAACAGCCAATCATAGACGTTCCCGGGATCCGGACTTGTTTCATCTTATCTGTTTCACTCTGTCATTGTCGTCATTTCTATCTGTCATGTATTTCCCAGAAAACCTATAAAATAGCAAGTAGTAGCCGCAGTACAGTAGTTCATCCTTGCCCCCCAGATCGTGCCCACAGACTGCCCGCAGTCCAAAGTACTATCCCACGGCGTTGGTGTCCTCTGTAACTGAGCGGAGATTGTTTGTCAATAAAACATTATCTGTTGGTTTCATTAAGAACTTGACCTTGAGAGGTTGTTTAGCTTGAGGACTTGTGATCAGTTGTAAACTACTCAACTCACTTGTGAGACCCCGTAAATCCTTTGTCTATAGTGTCGAAGGTCGCACAGACAGTTCCCCGTATAGAAAGGGCTGTTGTGATAGAGGGCCAGCATTGATACAAGACCCCGTATAGCAGGCTTGTTGTGCTCTGCCAGACCTCTAAGAACTCGTTGGATCTCTTAGAACACTACCATCTTTCACCCACCCCGTATACCGTTCCCCCGGTATCTGTGGAGAGAGTTCTAGTTTAGTTGTTCCACAACTACTGGAAGTACTTGGGAGTGCTCTAGAGAAGTCGCATTCGTGTGCAGGCCTTGTCCCAGAACGTTGATCGTGAGATTACATCTTACCTGTATATCTCAGGGTGACCCGAACTCATTGTTGGTACCGAGTATTGGTTGTGTGTTGTGTGTGTGTTGGTTGAGTTAGTTGTAGTGTGTTCACGCGCACTAGTTCTAGTCTTAGTCTTCGGCAGCCCATACTCAGGTGCACCGTTTCACCGGACCCCCAAAGAGGTACACACAATTTTGTTCACACCGGCCGAAAATTTGGCCAACCTTAACCCCTTGTGAAAAAAATCCGAACAATTGTATATAGGCTTATTTTCATGTGCTGAATTTGATTCTGATGTCCATTTTTTAATTGAAACGAAACTTCGGCCTCTGGCCCAGTTGATGCTTTTAACTGTCCGTTACTATACTAGTCTGCCCTCCTCAATCTGCTCTGATGCGACACCACAGGGCACAGCGGCACGCGCGCAGCTTGTCTGATCCAGGAATCCAAATAAGTTAAGTGCTGTATGATTGCCTTGAGTGAGCTCAAGCTGATCATGCCTTAAGCTTGTCTGAGCCTGAATTTAGCTGAGCTTAAGCCCAGCTTAACTCAACTTCCGGCAGCACTGATTGGCTCGGATAGCTAACCGCTCCTTCAGTTAGCTAGTTTCATCCTTGAGTAGTTAACCATGTCGTCATGAGGCCTTTCCCCACAGTGGGTGGCTAACCGCGAATTGGTCATGGTGGTTTGAGCTCTTGTCGGGAATCTCCATTCCACTTTGAATGTACTAGACTCCCAGTTTTTGTATACGCCTTGGTCAGAGTCATGGAATGACCCTACACAGTCCTCGCACCAACGTCTGTACCGGACATTATCCCTTTAGATAATAGTCCTGAGTGGATAGAGTATGTCCTTGGTTCAGGTAGAGGTAGAGCCTCTGCCTACCTTTGCCTATGGGGATAGGTATACCTTGGCATAGATACACCTATCACCACAAGGGTCGTCTACAGGCTTAGACTCATGTAGAAATAGACATCTGTCTACAACTCTGTCTAGGGGGGTAGGCAGACTGTGAGGGGCCTCAAGGCAGTAGTGTATTGTGGACCCATTTATATATACTTATTGTAGAAGTATTTTGATACTTAATACAAAAACGGCTGCCGTTTTTGTCCGATCCGTCCGTTTGAGACAGTGCGGGGCGGTGTGATAACGGTGTAAATTCTGGGTAACAAGGCTGTGTAAAAAGAAGAAGCTATCGGTAACAATTACAAAAAGGGCCTAACTGGGAATTGAACCCAGGACCTCCTCGAGGCACGTGACTACACGTGACGCTAAGCGTCGAACCCTAACAAGGAATCATACTACTAGACCATCAGGCCGTGATGAAAGGCAAAAGTATTGCTTGCATACTTAGTAGTTACGGTCCAAAGCTAAGACAGCTCCCTTCGTCCGAGTCATTTAATTTTCATGGAGAATCTTGCCGTCGGTCGTCGAAGGAATCTAGAATGATTTTCAAGCAGTCCAGAGCCGCCGCTGAATCGCGTTTCTGCCCGATGGCGTCGTGAATTGCCGGAGTCATGACAGAGGCAAGGCTCGATGAAGTACGGCATGTGATTTCGCCAAGCTCCGCCTCCGTTATATATGGTTTGGTAGACCCCTCGACGAACGACCACCCCAGCAGCAATGTCGGCTGGCTTCCGCATCACCCCCGCCCTATGGGACCGGATCCACCACTTTGCGTCCTTTCCCCAGACCGGCGGTGCGTAGCCTGCGCCCGGGCGATGCGGCGGCGGTCTCACGCGCGCCCCTGCAGTCTCGCTCCAGCAGATGGTCCTCTTCGGCCAGAACCCGAGCCAGGGCACGCTCCTCAAGGCCAGCCAGTTCCTCGCGGGTGAGCGCTGTGTGCCCACCTCCGACGCGCGGGGCGGATATTGATCGTATGTGGCGCAGAGGAGCTGCCCGTGCGCCTCGCGCACCGCGTGAAGGAGCTCGACGAGCTGCCGCACAACCTCAGCGCGATGCCGTCGATCAACAAGGTCAAGAACTGGTACGCCCAGTCGTTCGAGGTGCGTCGTGTGCCGCGTGTCCGCCGTGGCTCACCCGCATCTGGTGGTATGGCAGGAGCTCATCAACTTCCCCGCCATAACGCTCCCGCCGGGCATCCGGCAGGCCCTCATGGCGCCGCGCACCGACGACGCCACGCTCCCCGAGTCGACGCCGAACCCGAGCCTGCAGGGCGCGGCCTTCATGGGGGGCAACGGCGCGAACGGGAACGGCTTCAACAAGCTCAAGCTGCGCGTGCCCATGGAGCGGCGGTGCGCCGCCCCGTCCCCTTCGTGCGCCTCCCCTCCTGATGCTCCGTGCTCCCAGATACTACGCGAACGCCCAGGGCGTGAACTGGCCGCCGGAGGTCGCGCACTACAACACGCGCTTTACGAAGACGCTCGAGGCCATCAAGAGCCGGCACGACCCGACGGTGACCACGGTCGCGCAGGGCGTGCTCGAGTGGAAGAAGAGCCGCGGCGCGCAGAGCATCGGGCTCGACATCCAGGCCTGGCTCGACCGCTTCTACATGTCGCGGATCGGGATCCGGTTCCTAATCGGCCAGCGTGCGTGTTCCGTCTCCCCGCAGCCGCCATCCCGGAGGGGCCTGCCGTGTGTCTCCGCACCCGCGCCCCGCCCCGCCCGTCCCGGCCCCTCCCCTCCCTCCCGTCCTTCCCCGCATCTGACCCCCGCGCAGACATCGCGCTCAACACGCAGCAGGCGCACGACGACTACGTCGGGATCATCTGCACGAACGCGAACGTGCACGACATCGTCACCGAGGCGATCGAGAACGCGCGCTTCGTCTGCGAGGAGCACTACGCGATGTTCGCCGGGCCGCCCGTGCAGCTCATCTGCCCCCCGGCGCTCGCCTTCCCGTACGTCCCGGGGCACCTCAGCCACATCGTGTTCGAGCTGCTGAAGAACTCGCTGCGCGCGGTCGTGGAGCGGCACGGCGCGCGCGGGGACGAGCCCGCGGGCGGGTGGCCGCCGATCAAGGTCGTGGTCGTCGAGGGCACGGAGGACATCACGATCAAGATCAGCGACGAGGGCGGCGGGATCCCGCGCAGCGCGATCCCGCTCATCTGGACGTACATGTACACCACGATGGAGGGCACGCGCATCGACCAGGACTTTCATGCCAGCGACTTCAAGGCGCGTCCCGTTCCCTTATCTAGTTCTTCCAACCTGACGCGCGCAGGCCCCGATGGCGGGCTTCGGCTACGGGCTGCCCCTCTCGCGCCTCTACGCGCGCTACTTCGGCGGCGACCTGCGCCTCATCGCGATGGACGGCTTCGGCACGGACGTGTACATACATCTCAACCGGCTCTCGAGTAGTCGGGAGCCCTTGCTGTAAGATAGAACAAAATAAAATGCATACGAAAGCTCGACGGAAGGCGCACTGAGGCTCTGCCGGGTTGAATGGAGGTTGTGCACTGCTGGACATACAAAGCCCAAGTCCCGTTCGCCTCCATCTGTATCTGAATTCAGCCACATTGTATACCTTGTAAAGCGGAGACAGCGTGATATCTGCGCAGACCGCCCCCGCATCTCGGCAGTGGGTACGCACACCTCCCAGAAAACATCGCATCTACATGGTATTGCACGTATATCGTTCTAGATACAAGCCAGTCGATTGCCATAATGTACACTATGCACTTCCAGATACAAGTACACAAAGCGAAACCTTGAACGCAGAAAAAGAACCGAGGAGAGATCTGAGTCCGCCTAGTCCGTGGCTGCCCGAATATAAGAGTATGAGCATGAACGAAGTATGGAGTATGCCGTGTTCATCTGTTCGTTTTGAGTTTGGGCCCGCCGTCTGCCCGCGGCGCCTACGCATCGTCGCGCATATCCCACCCGCGCTTCAGCGGCAGCTGGTGGTACGCGACGGGCGTGGGGTACCCCCACTGCGCCTGCGCCTGCGCCTCCTCCCACCGCATCCCCGCCTGCTGCGCCTCGTACCGCTCCTGCCGCTCCTGCTGCTCCCGCTCCCGCTCCCTCTCGCGCTCCTTCGCCCGCTCACGCTCCACGCGCTCCGCCTCCCGCACGCGCTCCGCCCGCTCCAGCACCGCGATCTCCTCCTCCAGCCGCTTGTTCGCGAACCGCAGCTGCTGCAGCTCGTACTGCCAGCTCCCCCCCGCCGCGGGGTCCAGCCGCCGGAACACGTCGCCCTGCGGCTGCGGTTGTGGCTGCTGCTGCTGCTGCTGCTGCTGCTGCGCCCCCGCCCCGCTGCCCTCCGCCGCGCCCGCCGCGCGCACCTCGTACATCAGCCGCGCGGGCGCCACCGCCGGCGGCAGCGCGCCCCCCGATGCGACGCCCACGCCGCCCACGGGCGCCTCGATGCGCACCACCGCGCGCACGCCGCCCGCGCGCCCGCGCAGCACGCAGCGCACCTCGCGCACGTCGCCGGGCCGCAGCCCGCCCTGCAGCAGCGCCGCGAGCGCGTTCGGGCGCGCCGCCGCGCTGAGGCGCGCATCGGGGACCAGCAGCGCGGGCAGGCGGGTCCCGCGCAGCGCGAGCGGCTCGTGCCCCAGCAGCGCGCGTGCACCCGCGCCGACGGAGAGCAGCAGCCCGTGCGCGTCGAGCAGCCCGTGGAAGGCCGGCGGCGGGGATTCCTGCGGAGCCGTCAGCGCCGTCCTCCCTCGCTGCAAAAACGACGAAACCCACCTCGATGCGCGGTCGCTTCTGTACAGGCTGCAGCGCGCGCTCGAGCCCGCTGACCGTCGGCGGCGACGTGGTCTGACCGTGGTGCTGCTGCTGCGGCACGCCGGGCGGATGATAGCCGCCGCCGCCGCCGCCGCTGCCGCTGCCAGGGCTCGCGCTTTGGCTGGGCGAGCGGTACGCGGGGCCGGGGCCGGGCAGCGTGTCCGCGACGCGGGCCATGGCGCGCGCGCGGCCAACGAGCACGATCGCCTTGCGGCCCTTGCCGGGCTCGACGTGCAGGCGGCCGCGCGCCTCGACCCAGACCCACGCGCCGGCCTTGGTGCGTGCGCGGAAGACGAGGTCGACGGTGCGGAGGAGTTCAGCGGGCACGGTGCCGGTAGGGGCGGAGGCGGAGGCTGGGAGGATGTCAGTAGGGTTCTGCGTAGGGAGGGAAGAGAAAAACGGGAGAGAGGTTTGATGCGGGCAGCATGGAAGGAGTGCAGTGAAAGAAAATAGCAGAAGGAACGGGACTGGGGAAAGGGGGTGGGTGGAGAGAAAGAGTGTGTACGCGGTGAAAAGCACGGGGGGAGAAGAGGTAAGGGGATGCGAGGGAGGCGTGGAGCGGAACGGGGATGAGGGCGGCGACGACCGGGGTACGCGAACGCGGCGCGAGCGAACAACATGAAGCGGACGAGCCGAAGGAGGGCGGGAACTGGGATGGGAACGGGATGCAGAACCCAACATAAACGGAGAGAAAGGCGGGGGGGATAGACAGGCGGGAAAACGACACTCAATACGGGAGGGCAGACAGTGCAGCCGTAAGGGCGTTTGGAGGGAACGACGAAGAGGAACGAGGGAGAACGACCAAGGCACCCAGCGCGAACGGCAGAACGACACGAAACGGAACGCGACTCACCCTTCTCCCCGTCCTCGCCTCCTCCTCCTTCCCTCTCCCCCTCCCCATCCCCGTCCTCGCCCTCCCTCTCCCGCTCTCTATCCCCACCACCCCCACCCCCACCCCCGCCCCCGCCGCCCGCCCCGCCCCCACCAGAGACGCGCACGCCCTCGACGGGGAGGCTCGCCTCCTTGAGCGCGCGCCCGACGCTGACGACGTCGCGCGCGAAGCAGAGGTCCGCGAGCGCGCGGCCCACGAGCTCCGCGGGCGCCCACCCGAGGACGCGCGTCACGGCCGGCGCGGCGTAGAGGAACGCGCCCTGGGGGCGCGGGGTCAGCACGGACAAGCGGGGAGCGAGAACAGCGATCAAAATAATAAGAATAGGAATAAGGATAAGAATAAGAGAAGCGGGGGGCGCAGACGATGGATGCACGAGGAGGGCATGGGAGTGGATATACACCATCATGCGGACCCCAGTGCGATGCGGGCGGGAGCTGGGCGGGCGAACAGGAGGGAACATGTATTATCATATCACCAAGAGGCGCGCCCCAAACCAACCCCGCCTGAACCCGCCTGTACCCGCCAGGAACGCACCGCGCCCTGCGCAACAGATACCCGAGCGGAAAAAACAGCCAGATCGGATAACCGAACGGAAGCCCACGCACCTTCAGGCTCAGCACATGCACGAAGTCCGGGAGCGCGCCCAGCAGCAGGCTGTGCAGCGCGTGCGACGCCGGGTCCGGCGGCACGCCGCCCCCGCCCCCGCCGCCGTGGGTGTGCACGCCGCACGACGCG